AGTCCTGACACTGTCTGTTGCAGAGGATCCCTGTTTTTTCTGCATGGGCCACTGGGTCTTTGGGTTTGCTTAAGGTGTTCTGGAGGGCTTGAGTTGGTTTGCATGCTACGGAGATGCCATGTGGTTCTAATAGTCTGTTGGCTGTTTCTGAGAGGTTTCTGATGTATGGCAGTGTGATCTTTTTCATAGTTTGTGTTGGTTGTGTTGTAGTAGGTTGAGTGGTCAGGCACTTTTTGATAAAGTTGTGAGGGGATCCACTTTGTTGGAAGATGTTGTATAGGCGGTCTGTTTTCTTTCTCTGCTGCTCTTGGTTGCTGCAGTGCGTTTTTGCTCTCTTGAATAATGTTCTTACGCGGCTCCTCTTGTGGGAGGCTGGGTTGTTACTTTGGTAATGGAGGACTTGATCAGTGTGGGTTGTCTTCCGATAAACCTGGGTTTCTAATTTGCTGTTGCTTCCTCTGCTGATGAGGATACCCAAGAAGGGGAGCGTGTTGCTGTTTTCTTCCTCTCTGGTGAATTTTATTCCTTGTTGATGGTTTCATGTGTCTTCTCTAGTTGCTCCTTTTTTATTATGACAAAGGTGTCATCTACATACCGGATCCATACTTTGGGTTGGATGTGTGGAAGGGCTGGAGTTTCTAGGCGTTGCATTGCAATCTCTGCTATGAGTCCTGACGGTGGTGATCCCATGGGTGTGCCTCTGACTTGGTGGTATATTCACAATCAGGCAGTGAACAATACCCCAATCAAGGAACTACCAGAGGAGCAAAACAAAACCCTCACCCCCCCAACACTGGCAGGGCATGCCACAGTATATAAACAGAGGGCAAACCCCAACCCATTTTAGCACTGAAGATGTTGCCTAGCTGGGTAATGAAATGTTTGCAAGAAAAGAACCCAGCTCAGAGAACCCCACGGATGCCACCGTCCAACCCTGAGCTGCACACACACGCCTCTATGGTTGCCAAGTTTGCAAAACCCTAATTTAAAGGCTAGCTGCTGAGAAGCAGAGGTGGACAAGGGGTGAAAAATGTCTCCCCCCCAAATTCACTGAAGATGCCAGGGTATGCTTGCCTCCTTCCCCTGGAAATTGTGGAAATGATGGAAGCGGAAAGGCAGTGGGTGGGTTAACCCTTCCCCGCCCCCTGCAAAAATCTCCCCTGAAAATTGCTGCCTGGCTAAGGGACTTGTTCTGTGAGAAACCTGGCTTTCCGAATGTCATCGTCCGGAGCAGCCCCATTGCCAGAGTCCTGGAGCCCTTCCCAGGGAATCATCGAATTGCAGAAGGGGGAGCGACCCCAAGGATCCTCTCGTCCACCCCTCCACAACATGCAGGAAAACCAATTCAGCGATCCTCAAGAGGTGACCATCCAGACTCTTTCCTGATGGCTATGTGGCAACTTCCAATCTTGGAAGGGTTCCTTGAGGTCATCTAGTTCAACCCCTGCAGCCCCTTTGCGGGGGCCCAAATGGACACATCCCTGATAAAGGGTTGTCTAAGCTGTTCTGGAGCACATCCAGGGGAGGAGAGGCTCACATCT